TTAGAGTGTACTTCTATGCATTACACATATAATGCATAAAAGTACTGTATATGCAATATTTGAACGCGATTCACAGCATTTTCTTGTTCATCTCTTGGCTCCGTACATGATAAGTGTGCCTTCGAGGCCTGTGGCTTTTTAGATATGATTCGGACGCTGCCTCGACCGTATTATGTAGTAGGTGATAATGCGTACACGGGTGATAAATTCATGCTTATTCCTTGTCCGGGGAGAAACCTGGGCGAATACTGGGATGCCTTTAATTTCGTTCAATCCCAAACACGTATGTATATTGAGCAAGCGTTTGGGATATTTGTAAGAAAGTAATCGCCGATACAATTTAGCTTTGCATTTGTTCCTGAGCTACTTATGTGCCTAGCTAAATTACAAATTTATTATATCGGTTTTGACGATGTAGAAGGACATATTTATTTTGACATCTCAAATACTGAGTTTAATAATGTAAGTATTGACGTGAGTGATATAATTGAAGGGCGCAGAAGTAATAGAAGTACTCCATCAGAGTATAGTGTTTCAAACAAAGGATGGAGCGGGACTGTTAAAGGGGAATATTACGAGCGTGTGTGGGGTTTCCAGACATACTATTTGAGTGGAGACCTTACAGAAGCAGACAAACAAGTTACACGTGATGAGATAAATTTGAAAAAAAAGTCATTATGCGGCTTTAGCGTCTAAGTCTGCTACATTACAACCTCTTATGACACATATAGCAGGTGAAGTGGACGAAAAAGGATTGGGAAGGTTAGACTGGAATGTACGAAGAAATCAGACACACAGAAAGCAAGGTACAAACAAGACATATCTATAATTTCAAATTTAGAGAATATACACAAATATAGACAAAGTTAATAAAGTGATTGATGAAAGCATTATTTATTAGTAATTTCTTTTTATTATTGTTCATATACATGATATCTAAATATTGCTGCTGTTATTGTAGCTCGCTTTGTATAATCATCATCATGTAAATATATTTATATGTACGAGTGCGTGGCTAGTATGTACAAATACATAGACACGACTCGCTTTGCATAAACATCATATATTTAATATTATATGAACAGACAACTTTGCGATTGGCTGATCAGACCAATGCATCCAATTCGTCGCTTAACTTGTCATGTCTCTTCTTCAGTTTTGACCCGTGTTGTTCTTCCTGTATTCCGCACCCCGAAGTACTTTTTGTACAGACTGCATATCTTTCATGATACTTTCGAGATCACGAACTTTTATGAGAGGTGGGTGTAAATACGTCTAGTGAATCAGGTGGTGAAGAAATACTACTGAATCGATGTCGTTTTGATGTGACTTGTGTGGCTGGAGTGAACTTTTCACTTGAGTTACAGGCTTGTGATGCAGAGCTTAATCCGGTGGGGATCAACGGATTTGATACAGTTTCAAAAACAAACAAGCAATCCAAGTCTTGCGCATAAGAGTACATATTTACGGGATATACACTAACTGCAAAACACAAAACACTCAGAGAATTACATCCACCTTTTGACTGTCTCAAATAAAAGCTCAAAAACTCTGATTTCAAATCTTTCCACAGATTGCCGAGCTCGTCCTTCCAATTATCCGAGCTTTCATCAGCAGCTGCCTTGATAGTGTCCACCAGGGTTATGTCCAACGGACCTCCATTTCTTATCTGATCAACATACTTGGCGGGGCGTTAATACGGATCATCCATTTCTTCTATTGTTACCAAATCTTCCTCTCATGCTGACAGATTTGGTATCCATGGATATGTCTTTTTGGTGGCTGTTGCGCTGGTATTGTTATTTGCTAACACTGCTTCGACGTCAATTTTGTTTACATATTAATCCTTGTCAGCGACGTTTTTGGCAAATCGTCCCGGTGACAAATCTATCCATTGTCAAGTCTTCCCCGGCACCCTTGCAAGCTCTGTGTACCTACAACATCAGCTTTATGAAGGTCATCGGTCATTGTAATGTACATCATCCTGCAGACAACGCTTAGCGTTCGCTTAGCTCCGGCTTTACTGTTCTCTTTGGCTACCTTCACGGCTGTTTTGTTGATACTTGACGGAATATATGGCCAATACGGGAACAATTACATCTCTTCTCAGGTATTATCGTTGAGTAGCAGTACAGTCACCAAAGTCTGCTTTAATGCGGTAGATGTTGACTTCTTCTCACCCAAATCAAACACGAGGTTAACTGCGATGGGTTTTGCATACCGTTTTAAAACTTCGTTGATATAATTAGCCCGTTAGACTTAACTTCTATCTTGCGCCTCCTAAGATATTCTGTTTTTAGATTTTTTTGTTGATTAAAAGCTGACATTCGCAGGGCGACCCTCTAACTGGTGTCATCGTAGCAGGTGCGGTGCTCATGTCAGCAAACGAGTCAAATAGTATTCACTATCTTCTGGATCCGTATCCAGGTCGGCCGACGATTCTTCTTCACAATTGTCGTCGCCACGCTCTCGTTGACAAGCTCGGATGAAGGCTGTTATTTTTCAGAACCATCGCCATCGTGTCGTTGTTTTGTATTCGTCTGTTGTGGCCTTTCATTATCATGTCTTTCTCTTCACTTTGTTCTCCCACGACTTCCTCTGCTTCTGATTCAACACCTTGTATGTGATCTTGAATGTGAACTTCAGTTCGATCATGAATGTGATCTTTACAGAGTGTGAGCTTGAATTTAATCTTCTTGAATGTGATCGTCTTGAATGTGATCTTGAATGTGAATATTTGAACTATGCTCCCTAATGTGTGAATTCAAATTGTGTGTTGTGGGAGAGTCAGCAAGCTTCCTATTTTTACGATTCTCTGTATCAATGTGCCCAGTATCCAGTGATCGAACCGTGTTCGCATGTGCATGCATAGTAGCTTCTAGCATTTCGAACCTTGAATTAGAATGGATGAACGGTGGGATCGCAAAAAAGCAGGGCGCACAGGCATAGGACTCATACTTTTGTTTAAAAGTGGCCTAAAAAGGGGCAGTCAACGATTGCAATTCCCGTGTTTGATCTGCCTGGTGCCATGCTTTCGCGCATCGTACATACCCTGCGGAACAGACGTTGACATATTTTTTATAGGTGTACTTGAAGTAAAGTATATCACACGACAGAGAGACGTTCTATTCTATTGCTGCAATTAGCTAGGTCTATTACATAATTAACAAGCATACAAGAAATATACACTGTGATTAACAGCAGCATTCATAAGAGGCATCGTAACCGCCCGATCGTTAAAACGCTTCTTTGTAGCAAACATGCTTGCATCCAATCGAACATTTTGTGCGGGCTTTCGTGTATCCAATAAGATTGATGGGGATATCGACAATATTTTTCATTTTCTTGGTAATTTTTGAAGTTTACGTAAATATTCCGACTATAAACGTAAAACTATAACGAAACAACTATTACAAGAGACAAATTTTGTCTCTGGAAGTTTTCAAAAGTGGGACACAGAATCTCTTTTTTTTTTAAATTTAATCGAGCATACTATTGGCTGACAACTATCAGACAGAAATATGTATGCATTTACATAAATAGCCTTGCTGTTTATGAAGAAGGCATATATTGTTTTTTTATAGGACAGGACATAAATTTTTTTTTTTGAAGTTTTTATATTTTTATCCATATACAGTAGTCTTCTAAAAGATTTTTTGTAAAAAAAACCAATTGAACAAGGCAATGGATATATTTAACCACATAAATAAATATATCTCGAAAGTTGCAACAGATTTCAACTTTTCAAGCTCCATGTAAATTCACTACAAATTGTCTGTTTGCGCCGTAGTTTAACTGTTGTACGTAGGCTGCCTCATGTGAATTTTTCTACAATTAAGCTCGTACGTAAGCTTAGAGCTGGTCTCATCTGTAAAAGCTACACGGCTTGGATAAATAGCAGATTGACGCACGCTTATACATCGCATGACAGCCGACTGCTGAGGTAAATCTAGTCCACACATGTTTAATTGAGAGCGTTCTTGCACAAAGGTAACGTGAAAGTTCTAGAATTGTTTTTTCCCCTAGTATCTGTGAAGTTGGCATAGTAAATAACAAATTCATTTCGTATAGCTGCCTCCAGTAGCATAGTTGAACACAAGTCAACCTTGGCTTAATATCTAGCTCGTCACCGGTGCGCGCAGTGTCGTGCTTTTCACATGCAAATAGCAGACGTGCGTAACAACGACTATCACAGCGATGGCATACCCATGCACGTACTAGGAGTAGACAGTAAGGCGTTTATGAAAAGCTTAAACATGTATGTGAATAGGGGTAATATTATTTATTTCAAAAATGGCAAGTATGTATGATACAATGTATGAACATATGGAATGGCTCTCATAGTCGCTGTAGTGGTTCAGGAAAGATTGATGGGAAGAAGTGGTCAGTAAATTCCCGTTTGAAGCTTGGGCCAAGTGAGTCGACAATGGAAGATATGTGCTGAGTCAATTCGGGCCGGTGTTGACAAAACACTGTTACTATCGAATGTTCCATATATTCGCTTGCTGACCTACTAAGTAGAGTACCCACCTCTGTGGTACGGATTGGGTCTGCGCCGTGTAGTGCCGCGGAATGGGTTAGTGCAGAGTACGAAATACCGAGAAGGACCAGGTCATCCGTCATAATCCGGTCGAGAAGCGAGGATGGGGGTAAGCCAATGCCTCACCAGACCACAGATGAATTCGGTATGTGTTGGCTAGCCTGGATCGGAAGTATCATAGTCGGAACCAACAAGCGCGATGATTTGGTTTGAACCGATATTTGGGAGTAGTATTTCAACAGCGTGATTAGCCGGGGTATGGAGAACATCTGTTGATGTGTCAGGGACGGGTGAGCAACGAGCCTGGAAAGGGTATTTATGCTACCTCTTCGCCGCTGGAATCACGGTCAAATTAACTGAGTGTCTTTCAGGATTTGTGCGGAAGGATGCGAATATCAGTCAGTCCTCACTTTCAAATATCAGTCAATCCTCACTTACAACTAATATCACTTTGTTCGGTATGGATCAGGGGTCAGAGTTCAACAACGTGAATACTAAAGAACATTCGAACGCAAATACACAAGATCAAATGGGCGTGAGCGTGGGTGGTCCGGATGCAAGTCTGTCGGGTAGGTTTGGGTCGTGTCCTGATTTTGCTTCACTCGACGCGCTGCTTCTATCATCGTGCATAAATAATATGAGCACGTCTGAGTTGGTGGCCAAGATAAACATCGATTCCGGCGATGCAAATATGAGCACACCTAAGGAGTTAAATAGTACTGAGGTAGGCGATATGGATTGGACAGAGGGCTTCCGGTCTAAATCCGAGGATGATACGGCCAGTGCTGGTTATGCGCAGGCTGCACAAGAGCGAGCCACAAATACCTTGGTACATAGGCACTCGTCACACAACCCTACGTCTGATCACTTCCGAAAGCATAACCAATCCCTGCAGATGTATCTCAATGACACCAAGGCCAAGCAACAACGTCAACCAGTGCATCAGAATAGTGTCGACAGTTTTGGATCGTATCAGGGACCATAAACGACTCACAGTTTGATGTCATCGACTCGAGCCTCGAGTATGTCGTTAGATCCACTCGACGAAACAACTTTACCCGTCAGATCGGCGTCGATGCAAGCTCAGAACATCAATACACAGTCACACACACTCAATGGGTCCCAAATAGGGGCAGTATATCCGATTCCCCCGATGAACAGTCCGAAAAGAGACCCGCAGGTGCCTTCACGGAGGCACAGACGGGGCGGGAATGAGCTGCTGAGACCATTCACCTGTAGATATAAGGGCTGCACCAACCGTTACCAAGCCTGGCGAAGTCTGCAGTACCATATGTCCAGTAAGCACCTAATCAAGACAAAATTAGTGCGGAACAGAATTGCTGTCTTGGATGCAAACGGCGCGGATCTGTCCCGGTTCGACCTCGATGTCAACTATGATTTCACCGACCGGGACGGGGTGCTATTACATCGAAGCGGGAGTTAGGGTGGGGCCGCCAACGGCGGTACCGAACTTCCTCCTGGAGGGCAAGTGAATAAGCGGTCACAGACCCCATCAGATACTGAGCTGGAGATCTGGCATGAAGCCAGAAAGATGCTGCAGGCCACCACCAATCTAAGTACACTAAAGGAGGGGGTAGCTGTCAGACCCGACTTTGACTATAAGGAGAACAAGGTTCACTCGTCCAACGGGCAACCTGATAAAGACATGTACGGCAATGCATGTGAAAGATCGAATTCGCAGCCGCAGGGTGAACACGGGTTGGTCCGCGGGATAAGTCAGTCCCATGACGAGTCCCAGTCAGTGCCTAACAGTGCGGGCCTGGACCGGAGCTTAACTGCGGAGGACATGTATGCAAGCGAGCGGGAGGGGATCTACGGTGACAGTGGCGACGGTCCGTCTCAGTCGCACACTAGTGCTAACTTTAACGCTAGCACTGCGAGGCCTTCAAACGGTGAAGGTGCTCGAGGTATGCGAAGTGATATTTCTCTGCCGAGCGGGTGGTCAGCACCCTTGCAGGGCCAGGATCAAGATCAGGCTCAGGCTCCTTCTTAGGCTCAAGCCCAAGGCCTAGGACAGCGAGCGCGGGGTGGGGTAAGAGCGCCCACAATGTGGGTATGGTAGCTATTACGGATGATACTGCACTCGTATCAGCCGGTAAGGTAGGAGGACATTCGCGAAGGCACAGTACGAACGGGGTCTTGGTCTCCGACTTGCCGTCACAGCCGCTTCCGAATGTGCAGTCATATGGGGGCAGCCACACGCACCAGCTGGGACGCAACCAAGCCATACAGCACCAGTATAATGCGGGTATGCCAGAACCCACCTTTCACGGGCAGATGGAAAGCAGTGCGAATCAGGGCTCGGATGGGCTTCTAGAGTCGGTGTTGCAGTCGAATATGAACGCTGGGGTGAAGGCTGAAATGGGACAAAGCATGGTCTCAGGTGTGGAGGCGCAAACTTCCATGATGTCTGAGAGTATGGATACGAATAGACTGGGTTTTGGTAACTATGGCGAAGATCTGGATAACTACTATGCCAGACTGTTTGGTTCTGGTATGCCGGGTGCTGGGTTGGATCCGATGCAGATGGCGTCGAACGACTCCCCGTCGGGATTGGATCTATATCTGGCGAATAGTATGGGCTGCATCAGTGAAGGGGAGACATATAATATCGGTACTATGGTACAAGATGGGATGGGTATAGGCTGTATGCGATCCACCTCGTCGCGGCCCGTCAACACGATATCGGAAGTGCAAGAGGACCATTCAGCTGATAATAGTCTGATGCGGCGATGGTCGGGGGGTCAGCCGTTCCTGTCAAACATCAATGGCCTGTCGTCTGATGTGGCCGGTATTACATCGCCGGTCTGGTTCCAGTCCATGCAGAACTCGCAGCAAACCGGCACCGATCAGAACCCACCGAACCACAGCCACAACTCACATAATCGTCAACAACAACAACTTCAACACAACACCTTTAACAACCATCAACAGCAGCAGCAACTAGAACAGCAGCAACAAATACAGCAGCAACAGGGGCAGCAACGCCACGGAATGGGTGATGATAGATGTGGAACGATAGCGGTGGCGTGCACCGGACTTTGAGTGATACCCTAATCAGTACTCCAGACGAGCGTAACGTTCACATATCGTTGAATCGGCTGGCAGCCACTAACTCCGGTTCAATAGAGCAACACCCGGCCCTGTCCATGGCGACAGGGGCGGTGGTTAACAGTGGATCATTGCGGCATAGCACGCAAGGGGTGTTCAAGTTCCCAACGAGTTCGTATACTTTTCAGAATAGTGGGAATATGACGGACATGTCGACGTCAGGTGGCTCTGGGTCTGGGGCTACGATGGAGGATTCGACGGGGGGTGGTGCTGCGTGGCTGAATAGTAATGTAACGTCGACTAATGCGTTATACACAGCTATGGAAGAGGTGGTGAATGGGAAAGGAGACAAAGTTACGTAAGTTTTGTATATACGTGTGTGCGTGTTCATATACAGCTATATGTATCGTCGCTTTGCCCTATATCTACGCGAAAAACAATCGTCAGCATATCGTCCTACGGCGATACATTGGGCGCATTTGTTGTCGCGCCATGTTGTGTAAATTCGCCCTCCTAGGGTATCGAAAATTGGTGCAGTTTTATTAAAGGGATCCTTATATTGTTTAATGTCTTTATTTTCAATGATGTGTGCATATATTGCTAATAAAATCTTGAATAAGTTGTGTTTCAACCTGCGTGGGATTTTACAAGCAGGGCGTATTGACGCGTTACACAATGCCAGGAAATTATAAATATAGGTATATATACATATAATATTTGTACCTTATATAAGGTAAGTATAATACACATGTATAGATAATATGTGTATCTAATTATATTTCTACGCCTACAAACCCACAAGCACATACATACACCCTAGATAACAAACCGTGTATATATATATATATAGATGTATTATATATATATAGATATAGATATATATATACATATATGAAATACAGATATTTATATATATATACATATATACTATTATATATATATATATATTTATATATATGTATTAATATATATATATATATTAGTATATATATATATATTTATATATATGAAATATAGCTATTATTGTTTTATATATATATATATGTGTGCGTGTGTGGAATATAGATATTATTATGTATATATATATATATATTAATATATATAAATAAATATGCTTGTATTTGAATATATATATATATATATACATATTTATATTTATACATATAAATATATATATACATATGTACATATATATATATTTATATACAAGTGGCAGTGAGCATCATCATTACAATACTTATAATTTCTAGATAGCTGAAATCCTAAATTGTGGCCTATTCTTCAGCTAGTATTGTGACAACACCTGTGTTACCATCCACCGAGACCATCATACCGTCTGTTAGATCCGCCATATCAATGCAACTCACACCTGGTTTGCCGTACTCGCGAGCGCAAAGTGCACCGTGCTGCAGCGCTCCTCCTACCTGCAAGACAACCGCGGCACAACCAATGAACAGTGGCGTCCAAGCCGGGTCAGTTACAACTGTGGCCAGGATATCGCCTCTGCCTATCTTCTCACTCGGACTTTTGAGGATCCTTAGCCTGCCCGTAGCCACACCTGGGGCGATGGCCATGCCTACTAGCGTACCCGGTTGCTGTTCCTTGACATCGGGCTTTAGTATACGGCACCGAGAGTCCACCAAGAAGGGGGTCATACCCGCACGCTTAGTACGAAGATACTGTGCTTTTCTTGGCGCAATGAGATACCGAAGGTCCAGTTCCGGGCAGCAGAGACCCCGGTCCACTTCGGAGAGCTTTAGGTGGAAGACATCCCCTGCTTCATCCAGCCGATTGGCCTCTAGTAGCTGAGTTTCGCACACAAGCACACCAGTACGAACGGCACTCAGTATCTCGGACTGGAACAGCTTGGGCGAGTTTCGGATCCACATGACCTCGTCCAGTGCCTCGTTGCGTTTGAGAACCGCTTGCACTGTGCTCTTGTACCATTTGGCATTAGCCTTTGCTGCGTCTAGCTGAGCCTTCTGTGCTGCCTGGCGCCTGTCGCGCGCCTGTAGCATCGCTTGTTCCGGGTCCTTCACATCGGTGCCTGCGCTGTGGCGTATCTTCTGCAACAGCAGGACGGGCTGCTCGTGATAGCGGGGCGAGCTCACGAACAGTTGGTCGGTGCCATCATACCCAAAGTCACTCATAAACGCTTTCCAACTTGTTATGAAAGCAGCTGGAAGCTTGTCACCCGTACTGGCACGGCTTTCCACGTTACGCTGAATACGGTCCGATAGGTCATCGAGCTTATCATCGTACTCTGCCCAGAGTTCCACGGGCAGAGACTGCGCGAGATGGTACATCGCGATGTTCATCTCCATTAGTGGATCCCCTTTGTACCCGAGCATCATTGCCGCCGCTTCGTCCCTTATTTGCTGGGTCTCGCCTGCTTTGTTCTGTCGGCCCAGTTCCTTGAACACGCTGAGGGTTAAAAAGGCTCCCGCACATTGCAGGTCTAGCGCTGGGAACGCCGCACGAGCGAGTGCGTTCACATACTCAATCAAACCCCCCTGAGAAGTAGGCCCCTTTGCGACTATAGCCTTCATATCCGCGCGAGCCGTTGTCAATAGCAGCCTAAGTTCGCTACCACACTGGACAGGGTTGGCCTTGAACTTGTTTTTCATGATATACATATGCCACAGTGGCATCCGTCGGAACAACCACCACGCATTCGCGAAAGTGACGTCATCCGGCAGCTTGTCCGCCTTATACTTGGGGTTCGTAGCCTCTTTCCCCTTCAGGATGGACGCGGCGTACAGGTCTATTTGTTCGTATTCCTTAGTCATAGTGCTGGGGCTATACCCCAGGCGGGACGTTGCACTTACATTAATATACTGCCTGGTTGCTCCGTTAAAGAAGAGGTGGTCACCGCTATCGTCAGGAGGGTGGCTGATATCCCCAAAACCTGTGGCTTTGGTCCACACCTCCCAGTACGCGTCCAGATCCATGTGTGTGAAGGGATGTATTGTAGTCGCGTCGCTGGCGATATGAAAGTCAAAGTACAGCCTTCTCGGCTCACCTGGTTTAGTTAGCATTGCCGGATCTAGAGGAAATATCGTGGTTATAGGACGAGCTTGTAGTAGCTTGAGCTCGCCCTGCTGAGTGTACGCCCACTCAACGTCCACAGGCTTACCATAGGCGGCCTCCACGCTGGATACGAGCTTAGCGAGACTCAGTAGCTCGTCTTCTGAAAGCGTGGTCTAAGGCGGACGGGAGTTGATGTGATTGGTATGAAAAATGGCGCAAGTACATGGAAGGAACTACACATATCGATATTTCAATCTCACGAATGTACAAATAAATCGCGTGATACGAGAGTTGGTGTAAATGCATGGAAGACACGGTAAATATCAAAATTCATATGTACAAGACTAACGGAGACATAGACAGGAATACACGTTCATCCGAGAACTAGTGTAATTAGTAGTTATCGCAAGATACTGCAATTAACCCACAGAGAGGAAGATATCAGTCTGATCTCCACGATAAAACATACTAAAAATGGCAACTACATGTTTTAGTATATATATATATATATATATGTATATGTATATATACATATATATATATATATATGTATATATATATATATATATGTGTGTGTGTGTATATTATTTATAGTATATATACATATATGATATATATATATATATAC